GTTAGATTTATATATCTTAATACATGTAGAATAAAATAAAATAATTTATTCTATATAGATATGATAAATATCAAAATAAAAATTTTACTTGTATAAAATATCATAAAAATACATGATTAGTCCATAAGCTATATAATTAACCTCTTATTACAAATAAATAACTTCTTTATAATAAATTATAAAATCTTAATTATGATATTGACACCAAGAAAAAAATTAGGTTACTAAACTAATAATGTTTTCTTCAAAATTAAAATATCTTATAAAACACTTATTAATTATCATAAAATATCTTACAAAAAAAGACCATTAAATCTAAATATATCTTAAATTTTTAATATATACAAATTTAAAATATATATATATATATATATATATATATATATATATATTAGTTGAATATTTAAAAAGATACACATTCAAAACATATAACATAAACAAAAATTACTTTCTAATTATTTAACTTATAATATTAAGATTTGTTAAACTAAAGATGGTTCTGAATTTGTTTTAGCTACAATTAATTGTCTATCCTCCATCAACCTTCATAACTCTTTAAGTAGGTCTATATATTTATGATCTAAGCTTAAATTAAAAAAAATGAATTTAAAATAAATAATTAAATGTAAAGTTTAAGATTCTTGCTTAAAAAGAATCTTATTTTTATTTTTGGATTCTTTATTTATCTAATACTTAATGAAAAAATATAAGTTTTATTTAGAAAAGAAAAATTTTATCTAATAAAATTATTCTAAAAAATGCATTCTATTTGTAATCAAATAAGAATGTATCATGCAAAATTAAATTTAATTAAAATTAAATTCATTTGTATGATAAATGGTACAATATAATAAATAAAAATAAAAATTTCTTGTGCCCCAACATCTTCTTTAGATTTCTAACCTATAACATTTGAAAATTTCAAAGAAATAAATAGATTATTATTCATGAAGATAATTTTTCTTCTTGTAAACAATTACAAAGATAGTTTTTAAATTCAAATCATCTAATTCTAAAGCTTCCTTCAACTACTATAATATATCATAATTTTTTTAGATTTTCCAAAAGATTAAGAATAAAAAATATTTTCTAGAAGTTACTTATTAAAATCTATTTACAAAACAAAATGAAGAGAATTTCATCAAAAATCTACTAATGGATAACACAATGCTATTTTACAAATACAATAGAATAATATATTAAAAGATATAATTTTATTTATTATTATATCTTATTTAATACAAGTAAATTTTTATAATATCTAATATAAATAGATTTAGTTTTATAAAAAATATTTTATGACTATAAAAATCCATTAAAATAAGTATCTAAGATTGCTGTTTGTTTATATATATATATATATATGTGTGTGTGTGTGTGTGTGTGTGTGTGTGTATGTGTGTGTCTGTGTGTTTATTAATATTTAGATAATTAAAAATAAATAGAATAATAAAAGTTGAAGAAGTTAAAATACTTACCATAAAGTCAAAAAGAATAGTTGTGAGAAAATTAAATTAAAAATAGTACCAAATTTATTATATTTAAATAATAATAATAATAATAATAATAATAATAATAGTAATAATAATAATAATAATAGAAAAAATGAATTTGAATTTTGTATAGAAAAATCATGATTAAAGTATACTTCTTAATACAATTAGTAAAATATTTTCCAAATTTGGTTCAAAGCTGTTTATATTAGAAAATACGCATTTATTACAAAATCATTAAAGGGTGTTTTTTTAGAAGTGAATACTAATAAATGTATAAAATATAGATTCATATACAAGTACATCAAGAAATAATTATGAATAGTATTTATATTAGCTAAAATATAAGATAAAAAAATTCAATAAATAATCAAGTACTTAATAAGAAAAAAGAATAACTAATATTAAGTATTATAATTTTTCTTCTTAATCTTAATTAGGCATGAATTTCTAATAAAATTTTAAATAAGGTAATTTACAAATTTTCTATTAGATAGATAGTAGATATAAAATAAAGAATTTACAAAAATATTTTAACAATTATTATTATTGATGAATTACTAAGAGTTAAAGAAATGATTTTAAATAATGTATATACAAATAGATATGTATATATATATATCATTAGTTATATAATAAAAATATCAGATATTAAATATTAAAATTTATAAATATGTCAAAACTACAATCTTTACAAAAAAAAATTATTGGCTTTACTTTAATATATGTCATAAGTTATACTTACAAATTTATTCACAAAACATGAAAAAAAAGAGGTTTTTCATAAATGAGAGATGAAGGGCAATATACTATTAAATATTATTGCATATAACGTTAGGATACTAAAGATGATGAGACAATAATTTAGATTATATATATAAAAAAAAACTAAATATTATTAAATAATTAGCAAAATCCTTTATTTAAAGGATTGTAATATAATTCTAAAAGACATATTAATTCAATATCTAAAGTTTTGACATTACATCAAAGTATTGAAGTTAGAAAATATATATATATATATATATATATATATATATATATATATATAGATCTTGAAACAACTAAAATATTGATATATATATATATAATTTCAGCATTATTTTTTTAAAGATTAAATGCTGTATAATTTTAATCATTTTCAAAAGTTTAATTTTTTTACAAAATAATATTTTTCATTTTTCTTTATATAGCTAAAACATCTTTAATAAAATACTAGAGATAAATGAACATTATAATTAAAAATGTAGAATATCTTTTCAAAACGACATCAAAGTAAATTTGATTTCAAAAGCTTTGATTAAAGCTATATGTACAAAATTTAAAGTTAAAGAAAATACTGCATATTTCTATTTAACAAATCAATTTTATCAATACTTAATAATAATAAAATTGATTTTAATTAATTAAAATTTTTAATATGTCTTAAATATTGGTACATTTATTTTAATGCATATATAGATGTTATAGAAATCAAAATAAATAATAAGAATATATATCGAATAAAGAAGCTTTATGCATTTAAGTCTCATAAAATTACTCTATTAAAGTTAGAATTTAGTGTTAGATATCTTATCAAGTTGTTAAGAAATATTCTCTCACATTAAAAACTTTACAATGAATCTTACTTGATTGTTACTATAGTTTCAGATTGTATGATTAAAAAAGGACTTTTAACAAAAAAACTACATGAAGTGAGTAATGTTTCCTTGAAAACAATATCCTTAAATCTACCATTATCATAAATACTTATAAATTTCTATTAAGAATAATTTCCAATTAAAAATTCATAAGTTATAAGTATTAATAAGCTTTTAAGGCTAATTATTACAAAATGCAAGAATATATATATATATATATATATATATATACATTGAAGTCAAACATTAGTATTTGCTTGTGAAAATTGTTAACACTACATCCTTAATTCATATTTCTACAATCCACATGACCTCCACATAACTTAATTTGACTAAAAAGTTTGCTTCTATACTTAGGGTGTGTTTGACATCCCAATATTTAATCCTAATATTGATCCTAAAATAGAATAATTAAAAAAAATTATGTTTAAGATAGCTAAAAAGAAAAATAAATAAATAAATAAATTTTATAATAATTATTTTTTGAGGCACATATTAGTATATACATATATATATATATATATATATACGTAATCATCTTACAACTTGTTTTTTCATAAAATATTCATTGTCTCTCTTTCAACCATCATCTATTCTTAAAGCAAAGGAAGGACAAAATGTGCAAAAGAAAGACGCATATTATTAGCTATTTGTCTATAAAGATGTCATGTGGGGTGTAGTGATATCAATTGGAGATGTTGCAATATCAATTGGGATTTGACATTAACAATTCTCTTGCTTACACCAAATACATTGAGTCTTTTTTAGCATGATTTTATTTGTAAACTATGTTTGTGTTTGATAGGGCAATCCTATGATAACATATATACATATATATATATATATATATATATACATATGCCAATTCATAATTTATGTCTTAAAATTAAAAAAAAAAACAAAAAACAAAAAACAAATATAAGCATGTTATTTTTAATGAGTTCTGGAATTAATAATAACTTTATATTCTAAAACATATTTCAAAAATAAACTAATATATTCTAAAAATATCACATCTTAATCTTGTAAATGAATTTTATTGTGCACAAAGGTAAATTTTTGATTTTGTAGTTCCAATAAAATCAAATGATAAAAACCCAAAAAGACCATGATTATCTAATTCAATTTGATTTGTTTTTGTTTTTGTTGAAAGAATTTAAAAAATTGCCAGTACTTTTAGTGAAATTATACCTTCTATTCTAAAAAAATCGCAATCAATCTTGATATTATGAATATAAATTTAAACCACATATGTAGCTTTGAATATTATTTTGAATTCACTTTGCTACACATACTATTTACAAGATTTCAAATACATGCATACTAGACTGAGTTTTCTATTTGAGTCTCGTGCGCAAGTTCTTGTGTATTACCAACAAAAATCTAATTATCACATCATAATTTTATCACATCATAATGAATCATTGGTTGAAATCCCAAATCTTAATTCTTTGATTCTTGACATACTACATAACATTTTAAGTCCATCAGTACATCATACACGTTGCTAAATATTATGCACTTTTACTGTTACAGTATGAGAAAAGTAATAATAAAAACAAAAACTACATGACATCTGACATCCAAAATCTCACAAGGCCAGGAAGGTTCCAAACTCTGTACTTTTGCTGCCACATTTGTATTAAAAAATCTCCAAATCATTTGTCATGCAAAAGAATTTCAGACGTGAAGGGTTTGAAGAAGTTGGCACTCAAAAACAGTGGCCAGTCAAAGACCACGCAAAGTCACGCAATCAACTCCCCGACCACACTCAAGCTTGCTAATCATCCTCTCAATTCAGCAGCACATTCATAGACAGCAGCAGAAAGCCCATTGACATCATTCTTGTGATTCAAAATGCACATCATTCAATGGAAGGGAATACTTGAAGTAATCATATTGAAGAACCATATAAGAGGTGGCACCAACTACAATAGCATAGCCATAGGCTCAGAGTAAGCTTAACTCTGAGGAATAGGCATTTCTCTGTACACTTTCATTTACAAGCCTATGAAGATGAAACATAAATAGATGTGTCCAAAGAACGACACGGAAGTACCACTACGATGATCAGCAGCAAAAGACGAGCGAGGACGGAAGCAGTACCGGCTAACCTACTACGCGTCATAGGACAATTCACGATGTAGCTTACAGCAGAGATGGGAACAAGGGGAGAGAATTTTGAACCCACTCCGCAGAAACATCATAAAGGAACCGGTGTGAAGGTAGTATTCAGTACTATAGACAAGCACTGCCGGTTTCAGAGGTGACTGCCATTGCAATACAAGAATCTACAGAAAAAACCTAAAACCTAATCTTCTCCTTCGAAAGGACATCAAGAATGAAAGAGAAGCCAGTGCATCCTTACCCACTTCAACGAATCTGAACACTGAGGTAACAACCCTGATCTCTGACTCAGAGGTTTAACTCAATAAGTTCATACCAACAAATAGTTTCTCTGCGGCCCAGAAAACTTGAGGCAGAGCCATGCCTAGTCAGCGAGGTTTTCTTTGGTTTGCAATACAAAATCCTGGAAAGAATGGCAATTCAGCTCTCCTCTATACAAATTGAATCCCGGAGGCCAGTGTTTGCATCTCCAGCAAACCTACTAACAATTCGACAATCATACAAATGCAGAGCTTATTCCATGTTGACCTCTGTAGATCCAGACCGAAACCACCACCGCAACATTGCTGCATCCTTTCGTTGGCAGCCCCAATCTCGTTCCAAACTCACTCCACATGTGGAGGCCATCATGCCTTCAATTTCGGTAAGGCTGGAAGTCATCCTCCTACTGCGCCATTCCAATTTCCTACCTCCAAGAAAACTCGGATGCACAGATTGAGTTCTCCGTCAATTCTCGTAATGTACGAACATGCAATCGACTTTCATGTCAAATGCCTCTTTCGAATGAATTGAACTCTCTGCATGGAGTCTCTCTCGGCCCACTTCAATGCTACCTTCTTTCCTGCCTCTGAGTCACTAATATGTAACCAGGTATGCGGGGATTAACCTTAGCCAAGCACAAATGTTCTTCAAACTATCATGACAGCGCAATTATAGATGAAGCCACTTGTGTTAGAGAGTTGGCCAACCTGACGCCAGCCATCCGCGTTTTGCATTTGCGCAGGAGGCCATGCATGAATCTGATCGCAAAAGGTTCCATTACCCCTGTCGCTGGATCCTCCAATTACAAAAATCTCATCTCCCACTGCCTTAAATCCCATGCCCCATCCACTTGAGTCAACACTACGATAAGGAACGGGCCCTAGGGGTCTCCACGTATTTGTTCCCTTGTGGTAAGCATTTAGTTCCATAGTGCTGGCATCTGCAGCATACAGTTGATCTTTAACCACTGCAACTAGAGGTGGTGCTGTTTCTCCTGGAGGCTGTGTCCTAGCAGCCGGCCACATGTTCTCAACTGTAACCCATCTGTCCTCTGACTCATCGTAATACTCTCCAGAAGTCAGTGGCTGCCTTTCACTACCCTGTCCACCTATAACGAAGAACTTGTTATCCAAAATACATCCAGAACACCACTTCCGATTTACATGAAGATCGGGAAGACGCTCCCACTCTTCGGTCAGAGAGTTATAACGTTCTGCCGACCTCAAAACCGCGCCGTCACATGATCCTCCAGCGAAGTACGCATACTCTCCGTGACTCGCAGATGCAAACAAACATCGACTCTGTAGCATCTTCGAAGCTTTCACCCAGGCGTTAGTATGCAGATCATACCTCCAGACGGTCGGACCAGTCGAACTATGACCAGTCACCAAGAGCTGAGTTCCTGCGACAGCAGACTCCTTATCGCAGCTGTCAAACGTGTAGTCGCAAGGGCATTGTGGCAAACACCTCCACCTATTGTACACTGGATCGAAGGCCCGCCACTGGGGATGGCACTGCGGATGGCGCTGCGGTCCACCACTAGCCAGCAAGAACACCCACGTCTCCTTTACACCCTGCAGTTTGCGCATCTCCAGAACCTCGTTACCAGTCTTTGTCGTCGTCAAACATTTGTTCCATTTCCTACACACTCCCTTCAATTGTTGATGATAAGAGAGCGGGACAAGCGCTAAGATAACCAACGCCAGGGTATCCGACAGGCCAGGGATGATTGCAACGTTATCTTCTCTCGACGACCCCGCCAAATCAAACTCGGGTGGAGAACCCGGGTCGCTACCTGTTAAAGATTCACGTGTTCCCAAGAGAGGCAGATACGTAGTCCGATTAGCATCGGGAGACGGCGACGCATCCACTACAGAGACAGTCTCCACGCGCTCGCTCAGACCATTCCGACACGGGGCATCCTTCTTCGCGCCCTTTTTCTTCTTGTGGTTACTCTTTTTCCTACCGCCATGCGATCTACTCGGAACCGACAAGGTCGCAGTGGCCATCTCCACGTCCCCAATCCCCTGTCCGTTACAGCTACTGCTGCAGTTGTTGCTGCTCCTCAGCCTCCGTTTCCCAGTCGCTCTTCTCTTCGCTTCCTGCACCTCAGACTGCCTTTCCATAAGACAGAGGGCTCCCGCGGCTAGCAGCCGCCCCTCTTTAACTACCCCAGTCTACACACCTCTCTCAGTGATCTAACCCGACCCTAACCCCTCTAACCCCCAAAACGCCGATTCCAAACCCTAGCTACAACAACACCGAAAATTCCCTCTCTCCCTCCCACCGGCACGCTCCACGATCACCCTCGCTACAGCACATCCACTACCTGGACACAACCAAACACCTCTCCATACGCTCCTAACCCGCACCACGTCCGTCCGCAACTGTCCGAACGCATTCCTCCTCCTCCTCCTTCTCTTCCGTCTCCTCCTCACGGCCTCGGTTCCTAGCGTCACACCGCAGACGGCTACCTACATGAAACCTCCTCGTCTCCGACACAGCGCCGAAGGTCGAAATCGTGCTGCTGCTCTCGATTCACTAGCACCGGCCTCGTGTCGGAAACGAGAGACAAAAATAAATATAGGTATTAAATAAATAAATAAATAAATAAGCCCCCGCGGTAGACACAAGCCCTGGCGAGGGAGGGAGCGAACGAGCGAGTGAGCGAGAGGGCGAGAGTGAGTGAGAACCCGGAGGGCACTGAAGGGAAGGCTCGCAAGCTGGCTTGACTGACTGACTGGCTGACTGGGCTGGGCTGGGCTTGAACTGTGTGCTGGGTGGGCTAAGCTAAGGAAGAGGAGGTCACCACTATTGGACACGCTCATACGACCTCATCGCAGCCATGGGACACCCTCCTCCTAATGCCGTGGAACAACTACTCAACAACGTTGTTTGCTTGCTTGCCTGCTTGCTTGCTTCATCCTCCGAAAGGGAGGAGGAAAGTAGGGCCCTCCATACCCGCCCGCTCTTCCTTCCTTCCTTTACCTGGTGCCGGCATGAAGCCATCGGCCCCTCCCGTCCCGTTCCCTTCTTCGCACCGCGTCCCGTCCCGTCCCCGACCGTCCAGACCCTTCCAATTTTACCCCAGGTAACTTCACCGCGTCTTAGTTACCTGCACCTGCTGCTGTGGCTGCTGCTGCCCTAAGAAAGGAATCTTCGTCACGGATTCCGGGGTCTGGATCCACACGCAGACAGACATCTAATTTAGAGTTGTTACGAATTAGTGTGGTTAATTATATTCGTTGTTGTTGTTATTGTTGTTGAATGGTTAGCATGTGGTTTCTGATGCTTTTGACCTACAAATATGGTTTCCTGAATAGGATTTATTTTTTTTCTTTATCTTGTGTTCTGTAAAAGTAATCTGGGTTACTTGTAATGTTAGGGTTAGTTTATTCTGCTAGGCAATAATTGTGGCAACTAACCTTATATATATATATATATATATATATATAGATTTGTGCAAATTTGATTTTATTGATTTGTTGTTGAAATATCGTGGGATTTATTTATTTTAGGATTTACTTAGCTTTGGATGGTCAGGATTGATGGTGTGAATCTTAAATTAACATGTATAAAAATGATGGTGATAATATGTATTAATGTTATTATAATGAATTTTTTTACTACAAGTATTTTATTTTATAGAACTAAAATACAGACCTTTGTAGAATACAATTAAAATTAATAGTGCATCAAATTCAGTATTTTACATCAAGTAATATTCTTTCCATTAACGTTTGCTTTAGCAGTATATACATACATATGTGTAGTATAACTAATTTCTGATATGTTTTTTGTCACATAGATATCTAAATTTTAAGTGAAAAAGTAGTATAATGTAAAGTGTATTGTAAAAAATACTATTTTGATATAATGTACATTTATTTGAAACAATGATGTAGGTTTCATTTAAAGCAAAGAATTAAAAAAATTGTGCCAGAATATTTAATAAATTTGAAAATTTTGAACTAAATTTATTAATTTAAGTTTATCTTACATAGTTAATATTCTATAATAAAAACTATGATTAAATTAATAAAAATAACACCATATGCAAGAAATCGAATTGCATCAATACTTTGTGTTTAATTTATTTTATTCTCACAAATTTACTGACCCGCCAGAAGATTCAAATATTTTAGAGTTATTATGCCTACATAAATATTAAATATTTACCTTGATATCATTTCAATACAAAGAAGCTGTACTTCTCATTTATGCATGCACTTAATAATTTATTATCTTCATTTTAGTTACATTTCTTTTTCTTTAATCTTTATACATTGAAGTGTAAGGGCTACAAATTACTTACATATGAAAGTTAACAATGTATGTATATACATATATCACAACACGAAAAAAGATAACATACAAATGAAAAAAACTAAAGAACAAAATAAAACACATTAGTTTGGTATTTTGATAAACAAAATAATTTACCTTATAAAAAATAGGATTCTTTCTTATGACTACTTCATTCATCTTAAGCTAGGCATTGTGTTGGCTAAGAAAGGCTACTCTTAGATATGAAACAAAGACTAAGCATTGAAAGAAAGGGCATGCGTGACTGATCAAGCAGGATGATTC